CTCAGCCCTGGTCCTTCTCTCCGGCAGGATGGTCAGTTACTAGAGAGAGGCATTTCTTCACATTCCCTGCAGCAGCAAGAACAGCAGGCTGCACATCACCAGCACGACACCAGTCACGGTACCCAAGCTTTGGCTCCAGGAACGTACAGAAACCAGGAGAGAAGAAAAAGCTGTGTCCAGGGAAATGGCTGTTGTGGCACAAACTAAAATGCTCGTGATTGCTCCTTCCTAGGTAAGCATCCATAAATGATACACTTTATTTTTCCTGGTTTTGAGCTGCAGATGAATGGAATCATATTGCATTTTGGAGAGGAGGCCTATCAACATCATGTCTGTGAGGTTCATTCATGTGACTGTGAGCTGATTTCATTTCATTTCATTGCTTTATGACTACATAATTCTACTTCGGAGGGCCATCTGGGTTGTTTCCAGTTTGGGACAATGACAAACACTGCCCTGTGAACATCTCTGCACACGTGTCCTACTATACACGGGCAAGGAGATGCATCCTCAACTGGACTAGATCAGGCTGAACTGTTTCCAAAGGGACTGTACCAACGCACGTTCCCACCAGCAGGCTGTGAGCACTTATGTTGCTCCACAGCCTCACCAACACTTAGTATCGCCAGCTTTTAAATTTTTGCCAGTCTGGTGGATGGAAAATAGAATCCCATTGAATGTATGTGTTTAACGCTTAAAGAAAGAAAGAAAGAAAGAAAAAGAAACAGCAGGAGAGAGGCCCGGTAACAGGCCAAGGAATCCTACAGCAGCAGATCAGATACTGTGCTCCTTGATCTAACTAGTAGGTGCTGTAAATGTTTATCTTTTGGGAAGAGGGGTCCATTCAGCTTCCATTCTTCCTTCCTTTGCTAACTTTCCCCAAATCCTTTCTGGGGATCACGTGCTTAGGGTGGTGCTCTCCCTCAGCTCAAGGGCGGAGAAAGAGAATACGTCTTAGGGCTCCCTCTGGGCACAGTGCTTGTTCAGGGGTGAGAACATGACTCAATCACAGCCAGTCACAAGGAGACCTAGCAGAGACAAGGGGGAAAAAAGATTCTTGTAGTTTCTCAAGAACTTGCGAGAAGTGAGGTCATATGGTTTGGAGTTGCTAGAGCAATTCCGCTAACCAAAGGGTTAGCCTGTTTGAGAATGAAGCCAACCCAGAGGTGAAGTAAAAGAAATTAGGTCCTGATGGCATCTTGTGAAACCCTGTATCAAGCTCTGCCTGAAGCTAGCTCTACCCTTGAACTTTTCTGTCACATGAGCCAACAAATGCCCTTTTTGCCCAGCCAGCTTGGACTTGTCTGTCATCTGCAAAAAGAAGAAGAAGGAAAAAAAGAATCCTGACTCATACAGCAAAGGAAATTATTGAAGGGTAGTAGGCTGAAATATACAAAGAGCTTGTGCAGAAAAATCAGCCCAGTTATCTAGACAAAGGTCTTGTGACAAAGGTAGACACTAAGTGGCAGTTCTCTCTCTGGTCCCCACAGGTAGACTACAACCTCCCAGGACATGCCAGATCTCCAACCTGCTCTCAGCCATCTTGGCCCCTTCCAACAGCTCCTAGAAATTCTGAGTGAGGAAAACACAGGCAGAATCTTCCTACACCCCAGCTCTTATTCTAACCAAAGCCTCAAGTGAAGAGTCTTGGATTAGGACTAAAACCTGGATTTTCATCCAGGCTCAGCTACTCTGCTGTGCAGTCCGGGGCTAGATTCTTGAACTTTCTGGGTCTCAGTATCACCATGAGGAAATGAGGGTAGGAGGGAAGATCTAAGCCATTCACAGGACAAACTGAAATAAAGGTTTGGCAAGTGCACCAGCATATTTAATGTGCGACATAAAGTCACTGCTGTTATCAAGAGTAATCAAAGCAGAATAAACATAGCCGAAATCTTTGGGCCAGGTATCCCAGTTTTATTGTGTTGATTTTTGACAATTTGGCTCCTGGGCAGGAAAAAGCCAGTTTATCAAATTTAGTTTTTTCAAGATCATAAATGGAGTCAGTGAACTCACCATCCATGGGTTAGTGAGATGGAGATATCTAACCATTCATTCCCAGGAGGAAGGTGGGATCTAAGCCACCACCTAACACCAGGGAGTTCCCATTTTTCAACAAATTTGAGATACCCATGTCATTACATTTTAGTATCTCTGAAATGTGATCAATGGCATGTCAAAATTTAACAGGCAAAATATTTTTTCTATGTGGAATATAAAATAATTGATGGCATCTTAGATTTGGTGAAGCGTAGCACACCTCCACAAAGTGCTGCCAGGGTCGTCTTTCTAACACACAGATCCCATCCCCCTCTAGCTTCAAAACTCCTGACATCAAAATGGCACAGCAGGGCACACAGGGCCCCTACAATCTGGCCCCCACTTACCCATCCAGCCCCCATCCTGTCTCACCCTAATGCTAGATACACTGAACCGGGAAGACAGTCCCTCCATCAGCGCCCCCACTCCCTACCCCTTGCCCTTGTCCATGCTCTTTTCTGTCCCAGCTCATCCTTGAAGGCTGAATCAGATACGTCTCCTCATCTGTGAGGTCCTCCCTGTGTCCATCCCACCATCAAGCTGAATGAATCCCCTCCTTGGTTAGCTCCTGCGGCTCTGCATACACTGCATTTCTATTACGGCACTATCACACTGCTTCATAATTGACAATTTTACCTACCTTTCCCCCCAACCAGAATGTGAACCCTACAGTCATGCCTCACTGATCTTTTCACGTCCAGTGTCTGGCACAAAGTAGGTGGTCTGTAAATGTTTGTGAAACTAAATGTTATCCCGTGATTCCAGAGCCCCATTACCTTCCTCATTCTCCCTCTTTTCACCACACTGCCCTTTCCACTTTATAATCTTGCTTCAGCAGAAGGTTCCAAGGGCTCCCCTCAAGACGTTTTTGACCATTAACGTTACCCAGATCTCCCTCACCTCCCTCCACACACACAGTTTTGGGGGGAAGGTCAAGATTCCATTTCTACCAAACTGGCAAGTTTTAATTCACCCTGGATGACAGCCAAATTAAGCCTTTGTTTTCCAAAACCAATTTCTTCCCAGTCTCCATGTTTTCTCTATTCTGATCCTGGGGAGTCTAAGTTTGAAGTCACCCCAAGAAGCCTAAATTCAGACCATGGGCTCCCTTTTGTGGCTAGTGTCTTCTGTAGTGGTCAGCCCAGTCTGAGTCCAGCTTGTCACTCCCTTTGGGGAAAGTGACATGTAAGAAGTCACCTACTACTCCTGGGCTTCAGTTTCCTTCCCTCCTAACAAGGTGAGAATACAATGTGTTGTCAAGTTCACTAGGCTGTTTGAAGTTCAAGCAAGGTCACGTAAGTAGAAGTGTTTTCAACAGCAAAAAGCTCTATAAAAATACATGCTAGAAAGGAGTGCAGGGCCAACTTGAAAGAGCTCCCAATGGCTAAAACTGCAACAATCAGAGCAACAAAATAAAGTAGTATTAGATTACAACCCAAAGTATAAAATAAATCCATGACTCTATACTGATATAAATAAATGATTGAATAAGTTACTAAGTAAGGCAAAAGGAAGAGACAATTCTCCCATGCAGGAGAATTCCAAGTAATATAAGCACATATTTGCCCTTAAGGAGTGGGGAGCATACTCCCCACTCCTTATGTGTGGGCTGCACAATATGGAAGGGGGTAAAAATAGAGTCACTTTACAGTGGAGAAACCTGACAAACACTATCTCAGCCAGGTGATCAAGATCAATATATCAAGTCATAAATCACGTTGATACTATGCATCCTTGACATGATGTGATGAAAATGGTAATCTACCTCTGTGGTCTTCTTCCCATTAACCCATTAGCCCAGTCTTAGGAGAAAAACAACAATTTCAGTAGAAGGACATCATACAATATGCATGACCAGTATTCTTCAAAACTGTCAAAGTCATCAAAAACAAGTAAAGTCTGAGAAACTTCCCAGCCTAAGGAGACACGAGAACTAAACATAATATGGTAAGGAGGATGGGATCATGAAACAGAAAAGTACTTAGGTAAAAACTAAGGAAATCTGAATAGACTATGGACTTTAGTCAATAATAACATATCAATATTGGTTCATTAATTGTTAACAAATGTGTGATAGACTTTTAACATAAGATTTAACGTAAGATGTTAACAAAAGGGGAAAAGGTTTAGGGTATATGAGAACTCTGTACTATCTTCATAATTTTTCTATATCTCTAAAACTGCTCTAAAAAATAAAGTCTATTAAAAAAAGAAATTTGCAATTTGGGAACATAAAAAAAGTCTATTTTTTAAAAAGCTGATTCTTTTAAACTTGGGGGGAAAACATTCTATGGATTATGACTTTAACAGGAGGTTCAACATGGTCCCTGACACTAACATTTGTTGTATGCATGAACAAATGTCACTCTCCCATCTTTTGAAGCGCACACAACCCCTCGTGGTGTTAAAATCTGAAATGTACTGGGAATTTGGAAATGTTTGACTCCCATTTGCTCCACAAAGATAAATTTATACACTCTTTTCTAAGGCCAAACAGGGAGAAAATCAGCAGACAAAATGCTAATATGCTAACAGGCTGGAGAAGGGAGTGAATGCACAGCTCCAAGTATATGTGGCTAAACCGGTTTATTCTGACCAAAAAAAAAAAAAAGGAAATGAAAGAAAACAGGACTCTGGTCATGGAGCCGGATTGGCCGTCCAAGCAACCAAACCGTCCTCCGGCCCCGATTACCTCTGGCCTTGGAGACAAGAGTGGATCGGTGCCTGAGCTGGACACGGGAAAGCTAGGAAGACCCACGAGGAAGGGGCCAATGGAGGGTCAAGCAAGCAGGGGGATCAGGCCTGGAGGGAGGACACAGCGAACTTCACCCTCCTCCCGAGCCCGCCCGGCGGCCCGGCCCCGTCCTGCTCTCGGGCCGGCGGCCGCGTTTGGTCGCCCGGACCCCGGGGCGCGTGTGACCGCTGCTTTGCTGCATTTCTCATGGACGCCCCCTACTCACCGGCCGCGAGCTCCGGACCGCGAATCCGGGGCTGGGGTCGCTTCTCTCCCGCGGCGGTCAGTTCCGGGTCGCGACCCCCCGCGAGAACCCAGCGCGACGGCGCGTCCCCGCCGCTAATCTCCGGGCTCTTCCGAGTCCCCATCGAGATTACCCCGAACCAGCGCCCGGATTGGCCCCTGCAGAACTCCCCTTGCCAATGGGAACCTTAGTCTCCTCTACGTCACCGATCACCGGGCCAATCCGCGGGCCGCGGCGGGGGGTGGGGCGGAGCAGAGAAAAGGAAACCGAAATCAGGCGGAGCCGAGGCGCGGGAGCCGCAGCCAGTTTGGCGCGTAGTGCGAGCTGCTGGGTTACAGGGTGGGAGGGAGTCGAGTTCTGAGACCTAATGAGACCCTTTGTAGGACTCCGGGATGCCAGCATGTCCTCCCCTCCTCCCGATTCCCGTCTCGGGCTGGATCAGGGTCGGAGGGCGACGCAAGTGGCGCTCGCCAGGTGCTCAACATTCAATGGGACTCCCTGACCCCAGCGTGGCCCAGATTTGCTTCCTGGACCAGGCAGGATCTTAGCAAGCAAATATTCTCAGGGGGCTGTTTGCGAAAATTAACCACCATTTCCGAAGCACCTACGATGAGTAAGGCGCTTTACATAAAATATCCTTAAAGCAGGCAGGCATTATTGTCCCCATTCGACAGAAGGGAAAATGGAGGTTCCAAGAGCTAAGGGGCCTGGGCCCGGCTCAGCGGGCTTGTTTCCCTCCTCGGCCTGGATTCAGAAACCACAGAGCCCGCAAAGCGGGCCGGGACTCGGTTCCCAGGGTCCTCGGTGGGGAGGTGTCCTGGAGGCTCCCGCGCATCCCCGCCGCCCGTGGCCCCGGAAGCTGACGGCGCCGAAGCGGCCCCACCTGCCCACCTGCGCCCGCTTCCTGCTCTGCCTGCGGCCGCCGCGCGCAGTCCGGTCGTGAGCCCCCGTGTGCGGCCGTTGCTGTGTCCCAGGTACTGTCACATGAAAGTCCCCCAGTCTCGGGGGCCAGCGGGGCTGTCGCCGCGTTCAGCCCCTGAGGAGGGCTGGGAGGGCGGTGAAGGTCCTCCTGGTCACCCTGTTCCCTGACCCTACGGCTGGACTGGAGATCAAGGTGGGGACGAAGGTCGTCCGCCTAGGCGGGGTAAAGGAGTAGGTTGCAGGTATTGGGGGGTATTCATGACGGGGTGAGCTCGGGGTCCTAAACCCTAAAACCTGCCGGGCCTCCACCCCTCCTCCGCAGGGGGTGGAGGAACTTGAAGGGAATACTCAGGGTTTAAGGTAGGGGGGGGCATTCAGAAGAAATCCACACTCATAGTTTACATCCCCCTCCTCCACCCCACGCCCCGCCGTCTTTTCTCTCTTTGTCCAGCGGTGTAGCTCTCGAAGCCCGTCTCCTCTGGGCGGGAGGGGTGTGGGCCTCACCTGTTGGCCATGACTCTGGCGGGCCTGGGTTCTGGCTGTGGGCTCAGCACATCCCAGACCCTCCAGCCACTGCTCTTTTAGTTGGTGTTGTGGAAGAAAGCGTGTTTAAGTGTTCTTCAAATGATTTCCTGCAAGTAATCTGTTCTCTCCCTGTGCCTGGGAAGACTTGCCCCACCCACAGGCCATTCTGTGCTTCCTCCAGCCTTAGAGGTCCCTTTCCCCTGCTTAACATTCTCTGATATCTTCCCAGCCGACTTAGAGAGTCCGGAAGGCCTCTGCAGGGCCTGACATGACTGCCCTGCTTGTCCCTCTGACCTCCCTCTTGCCACTTCTCCCTCAGTCCCTGTGCTTCATCCCCTCTGCCATAGCCCCTTGCATGGCTGCCCCCTTCTTGTCAGTCGTGTCTCTGCCCAAGTGGCATCTCAGAAAGGCCTTCCTCCTCCACCCAGCCTAAATCAGTTCCCATCATGCAGCATTCTGTTTCACTTCATGTGTTTGTCATCATTTGAAAGCATCTTCTTCATTTCTTTGCCGATGTATTTATGTTCCACCTCCCTCCCCTCCTCCCCCCACCAATGTAAGCCCCATGAGTGTGGAGACATACCTGTCTTCCATGCACATGGCTGTCACTCAAACACATGTTGAATGAGTGAGCTCTGCTTGGGCATTTCTGAAAGCTTTCTAATGCCTTATGGCCCTGCTTGTCTGCAGTATGTCCTGCACTCCTGTCTTCCACCACACTACGCCTTGGTTGATGCAGCTTCTCAAGTCCAAGTAAGGGTAATGGAAATGGTGGCTCCAAGGCTTACTGTGTGGTCAGTGCAGTTTTATAGCAGCACACAGTGGTACCTGCCTGGTGCTCAGACTCTCTGGCCCCCAAGATTCTGAGAGCAGAGTCAAAATTCCTTCCTCCAGCTCTCCAGCCCCGTGTTCACACCAGATGGAGACCAGAGCGGTATACGGGGCTGGTTGGGAGTTTGGCTTTGGAGTCATGTCTCTGCTGGGCTTGAGTCGTCCTCTCTGCCACTTTCTGTGTGACTTTGGGGAATTGCTCAGCCTCTGTGTGCCACAGGTTCTTTCTCTGCAAAGTGGAAATGATAATTATATCTACTTCACAGAATTGTTGTGAGGATTAAATGAGCTAATACATGTAAAGTCTTTGAAACAGTGAATAAGTGTTGATAATATCAAAGGATGTGATAGCATTACTTGCATTTGAAATGAGAATCTTAAATCCAGCAAGAAGATTTAGTAGGTATGTTCCTGGAGCAGCTCTGGTTTAACCTAAGGAACAAATAGGGCTGCCCTCTAAAACTGACTTTACATAGTATAAGTTTATTGAGTTAAAATATGGCATTCAGAAATCTCAAGGTCTTAAGAATGTTAGAGAGCTTAGAAAGAGGCCTCCAAACAAAAATACTGAAAAATATGAATCTCCCATTGGTAAAGATGCAAAGAATTTGTTTGAATCTTTCATGTGAAAGATGCCTTGGAATCAGGGCAAGAGTGAATGACTATCTTTAAAGGAAAAGCTAAAATTACATGAACTAAGCTGAGTTTTAAGCCTATATTTCTGTTTTTGAGCAAATCTGTTTTATTTAATTTAGTATTAATTTATTTAACTAATAAAAAAATTGTGTGCTACTAAGAACTGACTGCTTTTCTGCTAAGACCTTGCCGCAGGCTAAAAAATAACATCCTTAACTTTCTCTTTTAAAAGGAAAAATGGGCGTTTTGAATGCTAACAGCATTAACTGCTGGGTTTGGAACAGAAAGAAGGTGTAGGCTGAGCCAACCTCTTATATGACTTGGGTCGTCCTTTAAAATACTTTATGTTCCAAATTTAGAGACTTTTAAATAAATATCTTTTAGTTCAAAAGTTAGTGAAAATATATTGTATAGTAAACAATGAGAAATTCAACTTTTAGCTTTAAAATTAAGAATTTTAAGCCTTATGTGGTGATGGTGCAGTTACCCCAGAATGTGAGAATGAAATACTATCATGACATATTTTAAAAAGTTATTATGACATTTTTCAAATCCACAAAAAAGTAGAGAAAATATCATGAACCACTTGGTTTCAATGATTATCAACATGTTATGTTTCATCTATTCCTTCCTTCTGTTACTGAACCAGGTTCGTTTTTGCCTGTCTCCCGGAAAACCAAACACCCAGATGACAAGATTGCAGCAGAGAGAAGGTTTAATCATAATGCAGCCAACTGAGGAAACGGGAGAATGAGTCTCAGATCCACCTCCCTGAATATGGTGGCTCAGGGATGTTTATGGGGTAGAGGGCAAGGTGGTCTGAAATGTGGAGATAGATGATTGGAGGTGAGGTGAAGTGAGGTAATTGATGATCTGCACAAGCGTAGTCAGACTTCATGCCTCTTCAAAGGAAGAGTTTTCACAAAATGGTGACGTTAACACGACCTGAGTGTGGAGTTTTCATTCTCTTGACGTCAAAAGGTCACTTATGGGGCATCTATGCAGGCCTGTTGACCAGTTGGTGGTCTCAACCAGCCTGAACTGGATAAGGGGTTCTAATTCCTGAAAAATGCTCAAACACCCATTACCATAGTGACCCAGGCACCAGGGAGATGTTATCTATAGGAACCTAGTGGGAGTCAGATAGCATATTGCCTAAACAGCACAGTTAACAATGGGCGGGTGAACCACTAAAAGCTATAATAAGTAATTGTAAAAAGGAAAAAAAGCTTTAGTTATTAGCTACTTAATCATCCATGGCTAACTGTTTACCGGTTTCACTGGCCCTTTTTTTTTTTTTTGTTTGGTGAGGAAGATTGGCCCTGAGCTAACATCTGTTGCCAATCTTCCTCTTTTTGCTTGAGGAAGACTGTCCCTGAGCTAACATCTGTGTCAGTGTTCCTCTACTTTTTGTATATGGGATGCTGCCACAGCATGGCTTGACGAGCAGTGCATAGGTCTGTGCCCAGGATCCAAACCCGTGAACCCTGGGCCGCCAAAGCAGAGTGCATGAACTTAACCACTATGCCACTGGGCCAGCCCCTCCACTTTCTTTTTAACTGGAGTATTTTAAAGCAAATCACAGACATATTTCCCTTCACCTGTAAATACTTCCATATGCTTTTCTAATAGATAGAGGCTTTGTTTGCTTACATAACCAAAATGCCATTATTGCACCAAGCAAAATTATTTATATAATTATTCAATATTTTCATAATATCGTTTAGGACTCAGACCATATTCAAATTCCCTGATTTTCTCAAAGTTGTCTTTTTGTTGCTGCCCAAATGGGGTTTTCCTACCCGATGCCCATAAAACAAGCCAATTATCATGGCATTAGCTTTTGAGAGAAGAAATGTGGCTTTATTTTGCGAGATCAATCTGCAAGGAAACGGGAATATGCTCTCAGATCTGTCTCCCCTATCCAGGGCTTGGAGCACAATTTATGGGATGAAGGGTAGGGCAGTCTGAAGTGTGGAGATAGGTGATTGGAGGTAAGGAGAAGTGAGGTAATTGATGATCTGCGCAAGTGCAGTCAAGCTTCGTCCTCTTCATAGGACCATGTTCACAAAATGGCAGCATTACCATGATCTGAGAGTGGAGTTTTCAGCCCCTTGATGTCAAAAGGGTCACCTATTGGGCATTTGCACAGGCCCAGTTGATGGGTTGGTGGTCTCAATGGGCCTGAACTAGAGAAGGGGTCTCAGTTCCTGAAAAACCACTCTTAATTAGTCTATGGATAAGATGGGGTCAGTTTAACTGGTCCTGGAGGGCCTGTGGTTACATTTTTACAGTTGAGTTGTCTGGATCCAGATGCAAACAAGGTCCACACTATTAAGAAAAAAAAAATCCATGACTTGGAAATAGGCAAAATGATGACTGTGTGTCCCTTCTGTGTGACACTGGAGCATTTTCCAACAGGCCCATGAAACAATTATCAAATTCTCTCAGGTAGCTTTGCTTTGACTTACTATTTTAGGGTATTTAGAGTACTCTTTAAGGGTAGATGTTAACTTATAGAAAAGTGATATAGATGCAAATGATTCTCGGTCAATAGCAGTGTAAGTGAATATTGTTCAGTAGAGACTAAAAGATGTACGTCCAGTGCCCATGTATATCAGTCTTTTGAATTCTCTTTGAACTAGTTCTCTTTTACAGGTCTCCTTGTTAACACATCTTTGATAATGCTCATTTTATATTTGTATAGATCCATGTTTTTAACTTTTTGAAAATTATCTTTTGACAATGCATTGCATTTTATTATTATCTCTCTTAATCCTTTTCTTATCTATAGCAATCCACCCTCCCTTTATTTTCATACAATTGATTTCTTGGAGAAACCAGTTCGTTTATCCCGTAAAATGTTCCACATTCTGGATTTGTCTTGTTTCCTCTGTCGAAATTGACTATAGTGAAGCCATTTTAAAATGGAGTCAGAGCTGCCTTTCCAGAGAAACTGCCTTGCTGTCTTGAACCTTGGACTGGGCCAAACCTTTGGACTGGGCCAAAATGGCCATTGTTTTACAAGCAATTGTTTGAGAAGTCAGCAGGAGAACTGATATCCTGATCATCTGAGGATTGTGGACTTTCTGAAGACAGAATCAACAGTCAATCAATGTTTAGCGAAGACTGCTGGCTCTCTGCCTCCAACTCCAATTAAAATTCTTTGTAATACAACCTCCTTTCTTTGCCTTTAAAAGCCCCTGACTTTTACTCCCTAGCAGGACACTATTTGGGTTTCTACTTGAATCTGTGCTCCCCAAATTACAATTCTTTGATCCCAAATAAACGCTTTGCCTCTTAAACGGGTTTCCTTTTTCGTAGATTGACATCTCATGATTTCAGTTAACTTGTTCCTCTACCCCTGTATTTCTGGTAACTGGTAGTTGAATCTAGAGGCTTTATGAGATTTGGGTTCAATTTTTTAAGGCAAGAATGTTTCATAAGTGGTGCTGTGTACTTAATGCATCACATGAAGAGGTACACGATCTCCGTCCCACTCTTAGTGATGGCAAGTTTGATGGAAGGGTCAAGTATCGTCAGCTTCATCCCGTCATTCGCCATTGTGTTCGTTATGGATTTATTGCTTTTCAGCTTCAAAAATGGACCTGAGCCCTTTAAATGCTTTTCCTTTGCCAGCGGTCGTTGAGCTTTGTCAGTAGAAGCCACTAGAGGGTCATTGCAAGAAAAAGTGATTTTTGCTTCCTGGTTCTGGTGCGCTTTTTGCCAGGCTCCTGCAGTGAGCACCTGGCTTTTCCAGCACCGGCTCCTGAAGCACTGGAAACTTCCCTAACATCCAGCTTCTGCAGTGCATGGTGGTCAGCAACAAACGGCATCCAGCAGCTTCTAGGCACCCGGCTCTGGAGGTTTTATGTTGGAGCCTCCCTGGTGTGAACAGCTTTCTCCTGCGCCGAGAGGGTGGATTTCTGGGAAATTCCAGAGGTCAGTTTTCCAGTAAGTTCTAGAGTTCAGATTTCCAGCAGGTTCTGCTGCAGCAGAACCACCTTGACTTCCTTCCAACTGGTGAGCCACAGTTGCACCATCACTTAACAAGGCCGGATCCCATCCCCTCTGTTTTCTCTAAGACTCTGCATCTGTAAATATCCCATCTCATGCTTCAGCATTTTTTACCTTTTCACTAACTTATTCTCATGAGCATACAAACATAATATCTCCCATTAAAAAAAAAACTTTATATACGAGGACTCATACTGCATGTGTTCTTCTGTGAGCTGTAGTCTTTGTTTTTGGGATTCGCCATCATGATGCATTTAGCTTTGGCTCATTCCTTTTTCACTGCTATGTAGTGTTTCAAATATGAATCATCTACACTTTTTTCTTCTCCATTCTACTGTTCCTGGAATTTAGTTTTTCTCCATCTTTTTGCTATATGGACAATGCTGTATAAACATTCCCATACATGTGTCCTGGCACATACTTGTAAGACTTTGTGGGGTATGTGACTAGGAGTGGAATTTCTGAGTTTTAGAATGTGTATACATGTTGTGTTATTAGGTGAGGCAGACTATTTCCCAGGGTTGTATTACTTATTCTCCCTCCAGTGGCAGGTGACGTTCCCATTAAACCACATCCTCAACATCACTTGGTATTGTCAGACTTCAACTTTTTGCCAATCTGATGTATTTGAAATGTTATCTCATTTTGATTTTAATTTGCGTTTTCCTGATTATTAAGGATGTTGAGCAATTTTATTTTTTTTTCCATTTTTGTTTCTCCTTTTGTATAATGCCTTTTATCCATTTTTCTATTGGGCTGTTTTTATTTTTCTTATGGATTTATGAGAGGTATTTGTTTTTTCATATATTCTGGACACTAATTCTTTGTTGGTTATATGTGTTACAAATATCTTCTCGGAGTTTCCAGCTTTCACTCTCTTGATGGTGTCTTTTGACAAAGAAAAGTTCTTCATTCTAGAGTAGCTGAATTTATCAATCTTTATATTTTGGACTCTGGGTCTAGTTTAATAAATCCTGCCCTGTCCTGAGGTCACAAAGATAATCTCCTATTTGCCTTTCCAATTTGAGCTTTTAATGTATCTGAAATTATTTAATTTTTGTATTTGGAGCAAGATATGGATTTGTTTCTCTTTTCTTGATGGTTAACTAATCATCTGAGGACTGTCTATTGCATAGCCCTTCATTGGGCACTGCTCTGCACTGCCAGCTCTGTCATATTATTTATCCATTGATTCATTCACCAATACTTCTTTGTGCTAAGTACTTTGATAGATGCTGAAGATACAGCAGGGAGCAGAAAAGACAAAAATCCCAGTGGAGCTTACATTCTACTGGGGGAAGACCAACAATGGACAAAATAAAGAAGTGAAATATTTGTTATATTACACATTGATACGTACTGTGGATAAAAATAAACCAAGGAAGGGGAATAGGGAGTGGGGAGAAAGTATTACTGTTTTAAATAGGGAGGTTAGGGAAGGCCTCACAGAGAAGGTGACGTTTTGACAAAGGGAGCTTATTTTGAGAATATCTGAGAGAAATGTGTTCTAAGCAGGGGGAAGAGCTTGTGCAAAGGGCCCGAGGCAGGAGCTTGCCTAGTGTGTATAAAGAACCGTAGGGGGCCAGTGTGTCTGGAAGTAGGACAAGAAGTCAGAGAGGTAAGTGGGTCCAGCTTGGGTAGGGCCATGTGGACCCTTCTAAAGACTTTGGTTCTACCCTGAGTGAGATGGAAGCTGTTGGGAGATTTTGAACAAAAAAGTGAGAGGCTCTAACTTAGGTTTTAATTTCAGTGGCTGCTCTGTTGAAAATGGAAGCAGGGAAGCAAGGATGGAAGCAGGAACATCTGACGGGGCCATTGAAATAAACTAGGTAAGCAATGATGGGGCTATAAGAAATAGGCAGCTTTAGAATTAATTTGAAGGTAGAACCAACAGGATTAGATCTAGTGTGACAGGAACAGTGGAGACAAGGATGAAGACCAAGTTTTTGGCCTGAGCACCTGGGAGGACAGAGCTAGGTGGAGATGGGGGATACTGCAGGTGAGCAGACTCGGGGAGAAGATCAGGAGTCCGATTTTGGATATGTTAATTTTGAGACGTCTGTTAGACATCCAAATGGAGATGTAGAATAGATACGCAATTCATTTAAGCTACTGTTAACAGCAACCCTCTTCTCTCACCAGATTCTTCTTCCAGATTTCCGGGCAGCTCTCTAGTCTTCTTGTTGCACAATCTTGGGGTGCAGCCTGGGATTCTACATTTCAACAAGCGAGACATTTTTTACACACACAAAAGTTTGGAAAACATTGCTTTAAGCCTGCTTCCTTCTCTCCAAGTGCCACCAAATGTATATTTAATACTTTTATGATCAGAAAAATGTTAGAAAATCAAATACCCAATAAAAATTCCCTATTTTCACAGCACACCGTACAATTCCTTTTGATAGAATCTCTTTAACATTTTGCAGTAAAATCATTACTCAGAATTCCTTTGACCACATTTTATGACAAATGACAAATGGTAAAAGGTGCCTGGGACTGAGGGGTTTCCAGGAGGCAGGACTTTTGGTGCTAAAAGCAGGAAAGTCCTGGGCAAACCAGGACAAGTTGGTCACCCTAGGTGTGGGGATGGAGCCCGTGGCAAAGTGCCTCCATTAGGGCAGTGGGGCACTTTGTCGCATGGGACAGTCCCATGGTCTGAATGTTTGTGTCACTCCAAAATAGATATATTGAAAACCTTCTGCCCAGGGGATGAAATTAGGAGGTGGAGCCTTTGGGAGGTGATTAGGTCATGAGGGCAGAGCCCTCATGATTGGGATTAGTGGTCTTATTAAAGAGGCTCCAGAGAGATCTCTCCTCCTCTTCGACCACGTGAGGACACAGGGAAAAGTCACAGTCTCTACAACCTGGAAGACGACCTTCAACAGAATAACCACACTGGCACCCTGATCTTGGACTTCCAGCCTCCAGAACTGTGAGAAATAAATTTCTGTTGTTTATAAGCCACCCAGTCTGTGGTATGTTGTTATTTGTTATAGCATCCTGAACTAAGGCAGACAGTGAATCAGGGTGGACACTGAACCTGGGTCCTTTTGTGGGAGGTGGTTCTTAGGAACGATAAAAGAGTGTGGTCACTCATCAAGTTCTGACCTACATGCTCTCCTTCCCAGAGAATGTCCTTCAGTGCCCTCCCTACTCTTGAAGCCTTCACCATCCTCTCCATCCCCATAAATGGGGCAGAGTACACTGCAGCTTCCTTGATGCTTCTAGTAACAAGAACAGGGCCTCTTGTAGTTGTGGATTCCTTTCTTCTTGCTGCTGTAACAAATTACCACAAAGTTAGCAGTTTACACAATACAAACTTACTATCCTACAGTTCTGTAGGTCAGGATCTGACATGGGTCTCAATGCTAAAATCGAGGTGTCAGCAGGGCTGTGTTCCTTTCTGGAGTCTCTAGGGGAAAATCCATCTCCTGCTCACTTGGGTTGTTGGCAGATTTCAGTTCTTTGCAGTTGTGTGGCTGAGGTTCCCATTTTTTGGAAGGCTGTAAACTGGGGGTCGTTCCCAGCTCCTAGAGACTGCTGAATTCCTTGGCTCATGGAATTGCAGTAGAAACATTGTTCCTCTGTCTTCAACAACAGGTCACGCCCTTCCCATGTCACATCTCTCTGAACCACTCTTCTGCCTCTTAGCCTTCGCCCCTTCCACTTTTAAGGACTCATGTGATTAGGTTGGACCCACCAGGGCCTAATAATCTCCCTATTTTAAAGTCAGCTGATTAGCAGGCAACCTTAATTCTCTTTTGCTATATAATGTAATATAGTTACAGGTCTGGGGAGGGGCATTCTTTTGCCTGCTACAGGTTGTATGGGATTTATTGAACTCCTGGCCATATGCCAGATGTTATCATAGGTACTGGGGATACAGTAACGAACAAAATAAAAGCCCGGCATTCATGGAGGTGACGTCTTAGTGAAATCACATAAGCAATAACCACGAGTATGTCTCTGTGTTTATTTTTAGTACTTTTTTGTTAATGGCTTTAGTGAATACGATTGATGTTGAATAAAATATATTCACATGCACATATTTAAAGTATACAATTTGATGTGTTTTGACACAGATGTACACCTGTGAAACCATCACTACAATTAAAGTAGTGAATATATCCATCACCCACAAAAGTTTCTTCCTACTCCTTGATAGTCCATGCCTCCTCCAACCCATTCCCATTCAAATACTAATCAGCATTTTATCACTTAGATTGGTTTGCATTTTCTAGAATTTCATATAAATAGACTCATAGTATGTACTCCATATTTGTCTGGCTTCTTTCATTCAGCATAGTTATTTTGTGATTCATCCATGTTGTTGAGCTCATCAGTAGTCTGTTCCTTTTTATTGCTGTAGAGTATTCTATTGTATGGAGTACCACAATGTGTCAATCTATTTACGTGTTGATGGAAATTTAGTTGTTTCTGGTATTGGCTGCTCCTTGTTGGATTTAGCAAGATATTATAAGAAAGCATGAACACGGGCAAGAAGAGACCAGATTGCAAGCAGAGATTGAAGGGAATAGAATGAGTCCAGATATGTGGGTCTTTACAAGGTTGGGAAATCCACCTGCTTTTGTACATCAAGTAGTAGGAGATAAGGCTTTAGTTGCTTGTGGCGAGCAGAATAACGACTCCTCGAAGAGGTCCACATTCTAATCCCCAGGACTTGTGAATATGTTACCTTACATGGCAAAGGGGACTTTGAAGATGTGATTAAAGTTAAAGACCTGAGATGAGGAGATGATCTTGGTGGGCACAATTGAATCACATGAATCCTTAAAGGCAGAGAACATTTTCCAGCTGTGGTCAGAGACAGAGATGTGATGATGGGAAGGAGGGTCAGAGAAATGTGATATTGCTGCCTCAAAGATGGAGAAAGGGGCCATGAGGCAAGGAATACAGGCAGCCTCTAGAAGCTGAAAAATGCAAGGAAAAGGATTCTCCCCAGAGCCTCCAGAAAGGAGCACAGCCCTGCTGACACCTTCATTTTACTTTAGTGAGGCTAATGTTGGACTTCTGACTTACAGAACCGTGAGACAACAAATTTGTGTTCTTTTAAGCCACTAAGTTTGTGGTGATTTGTTAGGGCAGCAATAGAAAACTATTACATTGCTCAAAGCCTTTCCCAAAGGCTTTTTATTAAGCCAAACAAATAGATGTAGACTGAGGAAAGGATTAGATTACAGGTGTTATCTTCCCACCCAAGGTGGTTACCATAGTTGAGAGAGAGGCATGAATCATTCAAGGAAGTATAGAACTAAAACAGACTTAAGAACTAGACATAGAAAAGAACTTTGGTTGCAGTTATTGACACCTGAAGCAAATAGAGAAGAAGCTCTCTTAGTTTTTAATGGGAGTGTTTTGCCAAAGAAACCTTGAACTTTACCTGAAAAAGCCTGTGGCTAAGTCTTAAAATAAATTGCAAGCCCCCAAACTTCAGGAGGCCAAAACTGTATAGAGTAATCCTAAGAAATGGATACTCCTCAATTCCTCTTGTATTGGCCATGTTGGATAATGGAGAAGGAAGAATCTGCCAGAAAGCAAAGCCAGCAGTCACACAGTGTGACAGACAAGGAAGTTCCTCCCATAGGGAGCACCAGGGACAGCCAGATGGGCTAATCAAGGAACTTACTCCACTGATAGGGTAAGGAGTATTTTGGATTCCCACTCAGCCAGATTTAATCGTCATTATAGACCAATGACTGCTATGTGTTTCCCTTTGCTTAATAAGGGTTTGTTGCCATGATCCTGCACTTGTTCCACCATTGTATATAGTCTGTGTGTGTGTGGAGCGGGGAGTAGATAACTTGGGCTTTATTACTTTATGGGTCACTGGACCACGAGGACCCATGTGTGGATCCAATAGAGATACCTACATATCACTTCAAGATCCTGGATTTTGAGCTGGATGTCATAATTGAATGAGACTTACATGTCCCTCTAAGGATGAGGTGAGTTCTTTTCTAAATGTGGAAAGAAGTGTATGTGTGAATTTTTGGTGACCAGAGGTAGACTGTGTAAAAACTTCAAACTGTCCACCAGAATCCATTCTTCCTTCTTCCATATGAACAGAGCAGTAGTGAGACATGACTGCACACAGATTACATTTCCCAGCCCCCTTAGCAGCTTGCAGCTAGATGTACCCATGTGATGAAGGTCTTGACAAAGGGATGTGAGTTGTGATAAGTGAAACATTCACCTCACAAGTTTGAGGCCTTGAACTTCAGTTCATCTTGACGCCTCTCATCATTGATTGGGAGTAAATTGATCTTGGAAATCAATCATGTGTTGTAGATGGCAGAACTTCCAAGAGCCTGGATCCTTGAATGATCGCATGGAGTACAACCACTTACCATCTCGATAAACATGTCCTGGACTGTTAAGTGAGAAGAAAATAAACTTTTTTATTTGAGCCATTTCATTTTTCTTACTATTGCAGTTTTGTTTTCTACCCTCATACACAGAATAAAATATAAATAGGAAGAAATAAATGGTTTTCATATACCTTACAAAATGTAGGTAGAAGATGTAAAGTAAGAAAAGACACCATATACAAAATAGCAATAAAAAGATAAAATACCCAGGAATGAATTTACTATGAAATGTGTAATACTTACATGTAACAAACTTTAAAATACTTCTGAAAAACAAAAATTGTTCTTGAATATATACTAATTATCATAAAGTTATCAATCCCCCTGGTTAATATGTTAATTTAACTCATTAAAGATATCACAGTCTTTCTTTTTAACTAAACAAGCTGATTCAAAGATTCATATGCAAAATAAACAAAGAAGAGTAGCAAGAAACCCCTAAGCAAGAGGAGCTTGAGGGAAAGTACCCTTACTAGATATGAAAACATTATAATACCATAATAATTAAAACAATGTGATAGAGGCATAAATAGACTGATGACTGAAAAAGAAGAGAAAGCCCAGAAATAAACCCAAAACATACAGTAATGTAGTGAATGATAAAAATGAG